GCCAGACGATCTTATGTCGTGGAAACTGTGGCCAACCGGAGAGTTTGGTGCATATTTTGCAATCCTGCTGGATCACGCATGATGCCAGATGTGCTCGTCATAATCGGGTTTCAAGGGAACTTGCAAAACGTCTCTGTCGACTGGGGTACACCGTCTTCGAGGAGTTGAGAGCCCCAACTTCTACGTCGTTCATCAAACCTGACCTAATCGCTGTTCGAGATCGCCGTGCAACTGTAATAGACGTCAGCATAGTCTCGGATTGGCGTGGAGAGACAGTGTGGAATGAGAAGAAGCAGAAGTATGGTGCTGATGAACATTCCCTCGCCATAATCTCAGCCCTACATGCCATCGGTTGTGATATCGACTTTTTGGTTCACCAACCGATGACCATCTCTTATCGAGGGATCTGCTTTCCTCAATCCGCTAAGGCTATTATTGGACTGGGACTTCCTGAGGTCGCAGTCAGTGACTTGTGTTTGATTGCCATTGTGGGCTCCCTGCGTACTTATGACACTTTTATGCGTGACACATGGCGTTGAAGGTACATTTTTACCATTTGATCCCACACCAGACCCAGTAGCATGCTCGAAAAACCGACCACAAAATCCAAGATCGAAAGTAAACCCAGGTATCGATTGGCGCCATTGCAGTTGGGCGTGTAACAAGGCCTGAAAATAGACATAAACCGAGAAAATGTCCAGTTGATGCTCAGTAACGTCATCAATGATCAGTATGCTTTTACAACAATCAAACCTGGCTCAGCTGAACAAATTTCCCCACAATTCGCAATTCCAAGAGATGTAATAGGTCGGGCATTTCTTTGAAATGAAAAGGTCTCAGTGCAAACAAACCTCGTGATACACCATAAAGAAACGAGAATAACCAGAAATCAACAAATTTTGGGGCTGAACAAACCTGTAAGTGTCAAGCCCTGAATCAATGATAAAACTCAAGGTGGCTTAGGGAAGTACGTCAGAGATAATTCAACATCTAAAATCTCCAATTAGTGGCCATTAACTACACCGAAATGTAGATCAGTGGTAGGGAGGACATGGCGTTAAATGTACATTTTTGCCATCTAAACTCACACCAGACCCAGTATGCCGATCACTTTGTGCCTGATGTGCGAGTCTTGACTGTGCTAGCGCACACTGCGCCTTGAAGAGCATCTACCGTTGTTTGTCCTTTCTTTGGTTGTTGGTCTTTAGACGCGTGTTTCCATATCAAAATCTTTACATACTTTAGGATTCATCTCATCAGACTGAAACTGTTCTTGGCATGATTTCGAATGAGGCATTTCTCTCTTTTCTTCCATATTCTCCTGTTACTCTTTCGCATTCATCGCTTGCATTCACTTTTTATGTTTGTGACCGTGCTCTTCAAAAAAAAAAAGATAATGGTGACAGGTGTTAAAAAAACTGGTTACTTTTTGTGACGTTGTGGATCAAGTAAGACCTGACAGAATAAGTACCAATAAAACCAAAGGGACTGTGTTTTTACGTCCGCTTTGTTGGAAAACGATTTTTGTTTTCAAATTCACGGACAACTTTAGACCATACTTGGTTCAAAGGAGGCAAAATGGAACAACGTTATATAGACATTACCTCCTCCTGATTAATGGACAGCAATCGGGCCTACAAAAATACCATGATATCACGGCCCGCATAAAGGAAGTCCGAAGACGAGAGAGTAGATAAGAAATTGACGTGCTCCACTATAACTTTGAGACTTTTAATTTGTCTTATCTGTTCTTGCGGATAAGACCTTGACCTACTCGAGCACGACTTTTCCTTCCACCTGCAAATTGCCTGCAAAGTGGCCCTGTGGTTTCATGTACTGGTATGATCAAGATAACACACTTCTGAGTTGAACCACTAGCAAACTTAAACTACGTCAGTTTTCTTCCATCTGTGAGACAACAAATGTCTTGGGACAATGTCACATAACTCCTCGACCCGTGCATCCGTTTTCTGTCACGGTAGCTGGCATTGCGGACAAATTTGATGTAATGACATGTTCAGAGACACGCTATACGTGTAGAACTGTCCCTCCCAACCATTTCAGAATTGCAAGAGTAAATGGTTGTTTAAAAGAACAGCTCCACCAGTAACTGTGACAATGAGTATGATAGCCGAAATGCTATTCTGCCACAGAAGGTGTCAAACAATCAACCAGCTATAAATTGTGAAACATTATAAATATTGGTTCCAGTTGCTACATTTTCGATCACCGGAAAGTGGGGGAGTGTGGAAGATATGAATGAGCCTTGGAGGGGTTGGCATATTTGGTTGGTTCACTAATTGGGCAGCTATAAATTGAGGGCGACAGCTTAGATACATAACGCCAGTGACTGCGTGATTGAACCATTTTTGCCGGTGTCATTAACCATCGGTGAGAGGAGCCATGGGGTCCCCATCCAGTAAGGCGGCAGTTGTCGACCCGACTACGTTTACTGATTAGTGTTTTTATGCACTGTCAGCCTCTCGATCGCCTTCACTCAGCACAAGGCTGGTCGAGAAGGGTTCCCCGAGGCAGACGGTCTTCTGACATGCAGAGTACATGTCCTAACCAGCGTAACCTACGAAGCGTTAATAGTTCATCTATCACGAGAGTTCCTCCTTCCTAGGACTACCTGGCAGAGTACAGTCCTAACCAGCGTAACCTACGAAGCGTTAATAGTTCATCTATCACGAGAGTTCCTCCTTCCTAGGACTACCTGACGTACCTGAGCATTGCTAATCCGATATTTCCACTAGACCTGACAGCAAAAGTGGATGAAACAATAATATCGTTAAAAGCACAATTTCGACTGATAGTCCCGTCTTAATAATGATCAAGTTCGACAGTTGGCCAGGTGTCACTTGAACTGATTCCTATTCACCTTCAAAATCAAAAAGGATAAAACAAGGCTAGACAATAAGCCAAAGGGTTGTTTTTTCGTAGGAAGACGCAGTTAATACGTAGTGACAATTGGGCGTTTTACTGCCAGTAATTCGACGCTGTCAACAATCGCTTCAGGGTCAGCTGGGTCTAGTCTATATGATCGTCAGCTTTCTAGAGTATGACTGGATTGCTTTCAGGCCATCCATAACAAACACACTAAAAAATCCACACAAAAACGTGTTGGATATTCATATGTGCGTTGGTCCGATCAGTTTCAATAGTACGTATTGGAGCAGACATTCGCATCCAGCGCCTGATGCACAGAAACATACATGAACCACTCGGTCTCAAGTATTTTACATAAGTGTTCTGTTACGCACACCCATTTAAACTGACACTCGCCACAATTCAGATCACAACGACTGAGTGTCTTTTCCTGCAGGATCATCGTATTTATTCTACACAAGAATAAGCGCGAGAAAATCCAACTCGATTGCATAAAATTCTCCGGCGCTTAGAGTGGCGAAAAACAAGAGGAAATGGGGCTCGTTCTACAGATGTGCACTACTAACGGAATATCGGAGGGTGTCAAAAACAAGTTAACCATATACACAAGAAGTGGTCAGTTTTCTAGACGATGCGCATAACACAAAAATACGCGTGAAAGGAAGAAGGCATTTCACCGCGAAGTCGTTTATTATCAAACACCAACTGAGCAGTTACAAACTATTGGACAGGAAAGTAAACGTCTTGTATGTACTTTGTCTTCAAAAACTGAATATCCTCACGTGTATTCTTAAACTTCCATGAATTTTCACTGACTACTACGCAATGGCAAACTAACACTGAAAAGCAGTTCCACAAGTTCCGTAATAAACCTCACCTTCCATTAGACGCGAGGCGGAGTTACGAGAAAACCAGATACTACTCGCATGCCTCATCAGAAGTATCCGCCGTTACACGCGTATCCCCTGATTGCAGTTCATCGATTGACCCAACCAAGCTGATGGCGAAAGTCAAATATAAACGGACTTCTCGACGAAATGAGTGCATGAAACGTATCGATCTTTAGATTTTATGGAAAAATCAACATCAACACTAGTCTAAAACTTAGTACAAGTGCGGAATACTCACGGAAGCATCATCCACAGTAAAGTCAACGCCCGTTCCATGCAGAAAAACATCATCAACGTCTATCATGATCCACCTAACGAGATCGTGCGGCACGTAGACTGTGAAATGGATAGGAAAATTGGGAATATTAAGTTTTGCTGCAGTGGGACTGACTTAGACTGAGTCAGAAAACTATCGTTGGCGAAATCACCCTATATAGGGTCACATAGGTCACATCGAAAATGTGGTTTGAACTAGTATCACAGAAAATAACAGAAAATGTGTGAATTGTTCCACCGAAGCAAGTTGGGAGCCAACCAGCATTATTCGTGACAGCACCACACAGTCAATAAACAAATTTATTTATCTCGTTCCATTAAACTTGCATCATTCAATATTATCATTGCCACTGGTGTGACCACAGTCGAGGAACTTCAATTGGTCATTCGATGATTGCGACAAACAAAAGTTACTTATAATTCGGGGTGAAAAAACCGTTTCGCTGATAAAACCAGTCGTCATAATTATCCCGAATCTTCCACTTAACGGCAAGAAAAAGGTATAGTACACTCTCTTCAAAGAGGCACTTCCGAGGACAGACGGTCTCGTTCACAGCCCGTCTTCCCCGTTAACGATGATCCAGAACTGCGAATTCAGGCCAAGGGCTGAGGATCGTCGTTTCTCACTGTGGTCCATCTCGATGGAATGGAACGGTGAACAAATAAGACGAAGCCCCCATGATAGACTATAGCCAACGTTCTTCGCCAGATTTCTGAGGGAGATTCTATCTCCAAATACACCGACTACCCACCCATGTAGGAAGTTGGCGATTGTGTTCTTCAAGGAGTTATTTTACTTCAAAAAGCAAACTGCAATTCTGAACGACGTGAAGTAACAGGCACCAGTCAATATGTTCAAGAATTCTGAATCGCTGGAAACCTATCTAGCCTGGTTAACAGAGCTGAACAACGGGATCTGATTTAAAACCAATGCTCGACAACTAATGACGTTTGTCTCATATTGCAAGCGTTACTATAAAAGTTCATTTTCTATTTTCCGATACTACCTTCTTGACGTCATTCATCGGATGGTTGCTCTTTGTTATATCATGAGACCAGATACTAGGAAGTTAGTTTTCAAACCTTAGTCGACTTTTTGTACGCCCTAGCCTCTATACAGGATGCGGATCTTAAAGAATCGAGTGAAGTGTGTGATAAAAAATGCGATAATGGAAGCACAAGGGTTCATTGACGGTCAGGGGCCTGAAACGATAAATCAGGTAATGGTAGCCAATCCCTGCGGACCGTTGATTTATGCGACAGGAGGTCCACCTCATTAATGGGCCCCCTTGTTTCTGTGTCGTCAACTACTCGTAAATGGAGGAAAGAATTTCACTGAGAAGTTATTTATTAGCAAACACCGAACTAAGCAGCTACAGGCCAGTAGGCAGGAAAGCAAACATATCACACGCACATAGTCTTTCGAAACTGAACATCCTCATGCGTCTTCTTGAACTTTACTGAACATCCATTGACTATAATACATAAGTGAACGAACACTGCACAGCGGTGTTCCTTAATAAACTTCACTTTCCATCAGATGGGGGCGAAGCTTGGACACTAAATCATAGGCTACTAGCATGCATCATCCGTAGTATAAACGTGTGCATGCGACTGGGTAGGCGTTTCAAGTCCCCAATGGTTCCACGCATTTGAAGCCAAGACGGACCGCTCAGTGGTTAGCAAGACAGCTCCTTATTAGGTTTCTACACGGGAGACGTTTCACAGTACCTCGGTCAAAGGTTTCAAGAAAACGCTTCGTGAGTCACTTCGATTTCGAACAGTTTCTGGAGTTGCTTCAAGTTTGGGATTTTGGAACGCAAGAAGCAATATTTAAGGTGGCTGTGGGGTTCTTGTGCACATTAACATAATGGTTGTTCCTGCGAATCTGGTTAGTTTGCGTAGATATACGAAGTTTGATGACACCTAATGCGGATTTACCTGTCAACAGTGGTTGGAGCGCTAGATGCCTACGCACAGTTAGGGCAACAAACAGTTTGTGCTCATTTGTGTGAGCCTGTAAACCCCATGAGAAGCCCGAAGGAATGAGAAAGGTGGGTGAACTGAGAGCCTTTGGCGGGTCTAGATGTAGCGATAACATAAAGCTGTACATACATATGGATTGCTTGCTTTGCTGGTTAACAGTGGTTGAACCATATGCGCAATAATAGTTAATCGCTGCCATTGTGAATGCGTGCAATATGCGGAGAGTGGGGTGATCAAGTTACAGTTCATGATACCTCTGTCACCCATGAAACGTCTAAAATAGTCGTTACGTTTGTGATAGTTGGACTACTCCAAAAGCGTATTTGAACGAGGGGGAGCCGCAATTTACATAACAAAACGAAAACAACAGCCAAATTTTTCCTTCCAACAGTCGTTTTAAGGTAATTTTGCTGGTCGATTACGGAATGTGTTACATTGGATCATGCGAAAGGACCAGAACATATTTTAAAACGGAAACGAATTAAAAGCTTTTCTTTTGGTAGTACACAAGTTCAACTAAGAACCTTACAACCCAGAAAACATACGGTGCTGTTAGATGATACATTTAAAGATCCGTCCCTTTCAGTATTTCATACAGAGCAATATCTTGTCTGGATATGATTGGAACTTGTAAAAAACAAATCTACATCAAACCTGTTATTTCGGGCACTCAGTATTCGCAGAATGGAATTGAATTTTCTAAAGCTACGACGTGTCCTTGGTGGACTGAAGGGGACAGGTAACTGAGTTCAGAGTAAGAGTCCACACTTTTCAGCCCCATCTAGATATACCGGAGTCTCAGCGATGCTAGGAAAGTATTCCACCAGACGTTTTCCGCTAGGGGTATGATTGCTTCAGTGGATAATGAAATTTAGCGAGCAGCTAAAATATGAACATAGATTTGGATGATTTTTAGCTTGAGCACATTCGCAACAAAATGCGATATTTTGGCCAAAAGGTTTATTCCACTCGCAAAGGTGTTTCAGCTAAGAGTGTTGTGCGGCCAATGGGCCCCGTTATTTTAGGCTCATGTTCTTGGTTTCCGAGTGAGATTCTCTACAGTGCTACGCATGCCCCGCCTGTATTTTTTATATACAATATACAATATACACCCTCGCTAGCAATCATTTCGCATGAAAAATAGCATGGAGGCAACAGAAAAATGAACATGACTGCAATCAAACAAGGTTCTTCAGAATCATCGGAACCTCTCGACTGGGGCTCGCGTAATTCTCCTTTCACGCAGTTGGAAGCCCTCCAAGATACGGCACGAAACCGAATGCATTATTGAGCTCAAACAATCGTTCCGTGTTGCTAGTAGAAATGAGCATTAGGTTGCCCACGATCTACGAGTCCTTGTTGATCAAGCAACACAAACCCCTCACCTGTGGACGAACAAACACTATGTCTACTCTGGAGCAAACACACCCTGCAATTCGGACGCTTATTATCACTACGTGTCAACCACACACTGTGTGTTAATTTTACGCTCTCGGTCAACGAAAGTGGATTAGGTGCTTGCGTCCCAGGTATCAGGTCTCATTGCTGATTTATTAAAGCGGATATGTAACAGTCAAGAGATCGTACGGCTGGCGTAAGCATGTATAAGAATATTGAACCTGCTAGTTGACACCAAAAAGAGCAGATAGCCATAAGGCTCTGGGTCGAAACCATTCCAAAAGAGACGTATTTCAATGACGGACATTGTTGTTCGTTCCAAACTGAGCATGCGAAATCCATTGATGGGAATGACGTGTTTAAATAGCGTTTGTGTAGACGCACCATCATCATCGACAGCATGACATCAGTGTTCAACACCGATGCTTCACTGCCGCACCAAGATTTGGTTATTGTTCTTGGGAGAACTCGCCGCCTAAATTTCCCGTAATCTTACTTTTAAACCACTTGACTTATGACGCGCGAGGGATGCGTAGGGGTACACAAGTGTGATAGGAAGAACTTACGCTCTGGAGAATGGATGAGATCCTCCTTCACCAAAGGGACTGCAATTGGAGGCGAAGCATGAATGCCCCGACCAAGCAAATGCACAACAGCCTCCATTATCAGTAATGAATTGATCCAATATCCATCAGAACTGGTGGCGAAAAGGACACGTCTAACTCCATCAGATAAGCCTATATCCTCTAAAACAAGGCTCTGGAAAACTTCTGTCCGACTCTCAGTGCCCTCGGAAAGCTGTGAAAAAGAAAGTCAATTAGTAGCACTGAGAAGCATAAACCTGGACTTCGATGTCGAGTGAATAGAGGTAGCCCTTGTTAGCCTCCACTATATTTTTGGGAAGAGATTAGTGTGAAATCCGGTTACGACCAACTGTCTCGAATTCACGAGGCAAGTACAGTGTGCATGCTGTTCTAGTCAGCTGGAGCAAAAACATCAACATAGGCATATAAAATGCAGAAAGAAGACTCTAGAGCTGTTCGACTGTAAACCAGGTGCCTGTTGACTTGTACTCCTAGCTTGATGGTGTGTTTGCAAACGTTTCGTCACTAAACATGGGACATCATACATGCACGGTTGGGTGGTCACCTTAACTGCTCGTGTTGCAACTTCGTATACATTTCAAATTGCCTCCAACCTTGAGTGACTGCCTTCCCGGTCAACAATCCAAATGAACCGCCCTATTTTGGACTGGTGTAGTTGAATCATATATTTAGTTTCACAGGACATTTATATTTTCCGTCTTCCTTACAGCGCAAATCGTTTTTAACCCTTCGGTTATCCTGTTATTCTACAAAAATATTGGTTAACTATAAATTTCTACTAATGCACCACTTTGCGGCTCGCTTTCAATCACGCGTTGACTGTTGATCCATGTCGGCTATACTTCCCTTTTGGAATACCTCCCCGTTTGTCGAAAACCGTTCAGTACTATAACGACCCATTCGAATCTTTGAGCAACGAGCACCAAGGTTAGCAACCAAACCGGCAAAACTCCGAACGAATGGCTAAAAAGGTACAAAACCTCGCGGTCTGGTTACT